TATTGTGGCAAAGCTGGGCTGTGAATCAAGCAAGTCACTCTTTTTACTTTAACTAGAGTCATGGATTGACCTAACTGGGATCTACTCACTGGGTTGATTTGATTGCATCACCTGTACTTGTGCGGTGTTTTTATTTTAGTTTGAGGGCATTATTGCTAAGAGTAGAAGGGATCAGCGTCTTTAAGAAGAGTGTCTTTTAACCTCAGAAATTCCAATGCTTGTCATTAAGCCAGTGAACTTTCACCCCTTTGCATTTTAGAAGTTTTTCAAGTTTTGGAAGCCTCTAATTAAAAGAAGGAAGGCTAATGAGTCACACCTTAATCTATTAGTAATTAAGCCTTAGTTTTCAGTTAATATTCTGAAGACTGTTTGGCAGCTAATGAATAGTAATATTTTGTGAAAACTTTGAAATTGAATACATGGGAGGTACCTAAATGAGGGGCAATGATTGCATATAGCTTTTGATATCTGTGAAATCAGGCAAACCTATATAAGAAGTAATGGTTATAATATTTTCCTATGAGATATATTCTAATTTTGAGATAATTGCCTATATATTGTAACTGTCTGATTTCATTCTAAGATGTTATTTTTTTAATATGTTTAAAATAATATCTGAAGTAGGGAGCTCCCACCCCCTATTTTTAACTTGTTTTGGATATGTGAGAGCAAATCCAGATACACCTTTTCCCTTCAGTTGAAACAAGTAATTATGGAAAGCCATAGTGTTGGGTTAATATCTTTATTTAGAAACAGTATATATAATGCAGTTCCTGCTTTCTGGCTTTCTTGTGTACACTTAGATTTGTTATCTTTAGTCAAGAAATACATTGTTTTGAATTGGTTGCCTAAACCCACTGCAATTATTTTTGTTGTTCCTACTTGGACACACCTCAAGAATTCCTGGATTGAAGGCAGTTGAAGTACAAGAAGTTAAAATGTGAACAAGTTGATATAAAATGTAAATAGGTAAAAAAGAGAAGATGAATATTGAAACCATATAACTACTATTACCTGGGGATTTTATTACTGATTTTGCGTTATTTTCCATTAACTTACATGACTCAAAGGATATAAAGAGATCCCAGAGTCAAACTGAGACAGGCTTTTATGTTGTTTAGTATTGAATTTGATTAATATTAACAATATTTTTCTAGAAAAAGATCAGTTTTCCATATATTCTCCCTAATTTCCAATGACAGACTAACAGAGCTTCAAAGAATTGTACTTATTTCTTGTTCACATAAGAATATTTTCTGATTCATTGAATAACATTTCTGTTGTATTCCAACTGCTTAAAAGTCACAGTGCTAAATATTGGGTGAGAGCATTCAAAGTCCTTTCTCTCTAACAGTAAATATTTTCCATGAAAATAGTAAAAGTCACTTGTGCTTATTCTAAATTTCATAGTCTATTTTTTTCCACTTAATTTCTCATCTTACTGTTTAGAATAGCAGGATGTCTGTTGATGGCTATCTCTGTGTATTCATTGTTGTTGTTGGTTTATTATGTTCTAGAAATGTGTATTTAACTTACTGTCATCTACATTCTGTTCCTACAGATTATTTTGTCAAATACTTTCTCCAGATTAATTTAAATGATTTATAAAATATGGCTTTCGTCACAGCCCTTAGGAGAGAAATATGTGCCATGTTATGGCCCATGTATCTTACAAATAGAAAAGACTTCTGGATGGCCAATATGGAGTTTTGTTAGTTCAGATTTCTTTCATTGCTTCAGAACACATTGTTTTACTCTATTTTGGACTATCATTTCCTTCTGGACAATAAATTTTATTTCAGATAGTTCATCCTAATCCTGTTTTCTTGAAGGCAAGCTTTCTTAATTTAGACTTTAATCTTTCCTTTCATCATCAAAACTGTATCTTACTTCATTGCTTTTCTCTGAATACCTTGATCTCTGCGATGCCTTACTGATAGTGGACTTGACTGGAACCCTGGCAAGACGTTGTGTCAAATCTGTACAACCTGCCTCTTGTCGTCTCTTACCCACTTCCCCCCTCCTTCCCAAATCTGTTTTTCAAATGAGGGAGAATATACTGGAGAAGTTCCAGTCAGCATCATCATCTAAGGACCACCTTCTTTTTTAAGCCCAATGTTCTGTATATGAGACACTATCATAAATTCGGAACATGGTCTCTTAATATAGGAACTCCTGATTCAAATCTGTTGCTATCAAAATTAATTGTATTCTTTCTTGTTGAGATATTTCTCTTCACTAATAACATTCTGATCAAATGATATGCCAACTGCCTGATCATATCTTCCATTATGAATTATTTTGTAATTATATCTGCAGATTATTCTTTTAGGGTGTACATATTATCCCATCTGACTTTTCTCAACCCTTTTAACCAGAAAGTTAAATGAAAACATTTTTCTTTTTCAACAAACAAAAATTTGAAACTAACCCTACATCTCTCTGGTCAGAATAAAATTATAATCTTGACTTCAATACTGGGGTGTCTTCACTGAAATCTTGAAATCACTTAATATCTTGTCTTGAAAGGCTAATGCATCAATTTATATGATGTCATAGGAAGTATGCATCAAACCCATAACTGTAGGAAGATTCAGTTTTTATAAACAGTGTCAAGAAGCTAGATTCTAAAAAGCATTGGAAATTTTCTGATCCTGGCATTACATTCTGTGTCAAAGAAAGTTTTGTTCTTTTAACTAATACCATAATGGAAAACATTATCTAATCAGTCATACTAAATTCACCTCAAAAGTCAGCACAGTTCACCACTCTGCATCGTTTTGATGCAGCCTAGTTTTGCATTGGGTTCCTGAAGTCATGCTCCATTTCAAATTAACAACGGATAATTAATTAGACATATTAATAGACTCTAATCTAAGTCCAGTTTGTTTTATTTCAATATTTGAAAAGTCTTTAACCCCAATTTTATTCTGATTTCTTAATGTTGGCAGCAGTGTACTTTCTTTGGTAGTAAAAATCTTAAGGTGTTTGTTGAAAGAATGGATGATTGCATCATTAATGTTAAAATCATGGCCATTAAATTTTGTATGAAGTGTGAGATAATGCAAGTAAGTTTCTACTACATAAGATTCATTATTGAAACTGAGAAATAATGGTGACTAACACATTCCCTACAAAGGGAAAATCAAGAGATGCCTAATTTCTAAAACCAAATGCAATTTTTATAAAAGCATAAAAAAGCAAGGATAAGCCAACTAGTCAATGTTCCAATAGGCACAACTTGGAGGAAAATGAAACCTCATACAGGCATTAACAGTAATACACAATTAATAGCTATTGAATAAATAATTTGAGTTTAGGTTTAGAATTATTGAAAATAGAAACAATAATATAGTAAGGGAAACATGCAGAATATCACCATTTCCTCTAATAAGTACAGAAACAGTCAAATATTGGAAAAATTCCATTCTTTCTTCATATATCAGATGTTTTTTTCTTTTCTGTCCTTACTTCTCTAAAGACAGTCTTTAAATGTCTTTAACATTTAGTTTGAAGTAAAAGATGGGAGGGATGTTGCCAAATTTGTAATCAGCTTGAATTTAGTAGCTTGTGCTTCAAAATGCTCCCTAATCTGCCAATTTTGCTTAATTTTAAATTGTGATTATTTACTATGCTTATGTGTTTAGTGAGCTAAGAATTACAGGAGTAAAAATACAACTATATTGGCTAAAAACAAAAATTTTTGAAATTAGGAATTTTGTTTACCTACAGAAACAGGCTTTGGGCTTTACCCATTTATGATGCTGTGAATTGTAAGCTATTATTTTGAATCTTCGCTTGTACTAAAATATTTTCTGTGTAAAGAGATGGTTTCACTTTTCATATATTATACGGGCAGATAAAAGTCCTTGCATCCCTCTGGATGGTTTCAGGACCTGCCTGCTCTTCAAGATCACTCTCCCTTTTGTTTTGTCATAATACCTACTCAATAACATGAAGAATTTGATATTTAAACTTCTAAATCTCCATTTGAAAAAAAAACTAAACAAAACAAAAACCTTAGTGCTGTCCACATTACTCTTTCATCTTGCCTGATTTCCAAAAAGAAAATTGGACTCAGATGAAACAAAGCTGTAACTAAATGCCTATGGCAGAACTGCCTGTGACCACAGTGTATGGTCAATGGTCACTTAGCACTACCAGGTCACTTAAACCTGACCTCCGAGAGTGGCAGCACAGGAAACCTTATGATTGTAAAAGTCTTGCCATTTGATTTTTCTACAGTATTGAAGGAGGGCTTAACTACCCCCTTTAGGTATATGTCATATTCCATACACACAGAAAAATTTAGTTAAGATTATCAGTAATATTTTATCAAAGATGGTATTTTAAGAGGTAGAAAGGCTAATGGTAGAAATCGTCACTGGTTATTGGCTTATCTTTTAAATTGTACCTGTCACACAACCTACACTTGGATGTAGAAAGAGGTGCTGTTCTAGCAGCAACGAATGCATTAGTTCTTTGGTGATCCCATGAAAGAGGTAAGTATCCATTTAGTACCATGTATTGGCTGGATGTGCAGAGGCTGAGGGCTTGGCGAAGGTCACACAGCAGGGCACTGGAACTTCCAAGCAAGATACCTGAAATCCCCATGTACCGTTCCAGGCTTTAAAAGCTGCAGCCCTTGCTTTCTCTCTTGGTGATCTTCAATGCTTTAAACAGGGGATTCATCCCCCATAAACCCCCCCCCATAATTGTCCCTTATAGCCAGACAAAGCAAGGTGCTTCTACATCCTCCTTTTCCAAGATGCTCATCTATTTATCTGTTCAAGAAAGCCAATGAGGAATCCAAATGGCCGGGCTGCTTAATATCCCCGTGGCCCACCCATTTCTCTTTCAGCACCTAATTCCTTCATATGCCTCTTTCTCCCAAAGACCATTCCCTCTTCCACTTCCCTAATCCCTTCCCAATAGGGTACGTTTTTTTTTTCTCTTGCTCTCTCTCTCACTCTCTCTTTTCTGTATCTCTCGGAAATCAGACAGGAGTTCAGAGCACTTTCACTACCTTTTATGAGGTAGATTGTGATGTCATAGATGGGGGCAGGGCTAGTCCACTTTCTACCCACCTCCCGACCTGTGCTGAGGGAGCTCCGATCGGGAGTGGAAGCGGTGATTCCTCCATGGTGAGTAACTTTGCTTTCTAATTGAATCTGTCTCATTGTAAACATGGATTTCAAAAGCAGGGGAATGGGGGTTTCAAAGAAGTAAAGGTGTGACCATTTAAGCCCTCTTTACTTATTTTTAACCAACTTTGGGCAAAGGATCTGCTTACTTATTCTTTATATGAATCAAGAATTCCACAGCACAGATACACTCTTCAAGTGTGATCTAAACTTGAGAAGTAAAATGGTATTTTCATTCCTTTGTTTCTCGATCTTTCTTCCAATTGGGACTGAAAGTCACTGCATTTGTCAAAGGAATCCATTCCATAATTCTGTGGTGAGCTTCTCTAAGGAAGACTAATTAGGGGAATGTATTCCTCATTTGAAAGATTTCAGGATCACAGAATATCCTTTTCTGACGTTTACCCCAGAAGTCAGTCTGCTCTTTAAAAATTGTGAGGTAAACTGTAAATAAACTGATACGTAAGAATCATCAACAAGCTTGGTTTTAATGTCAGTAAGTGAAAACTTTCTAATGCAAAGACTAAGGTTTTTTTTTTTAAGTCATAGCTCTTGCAAGTTGGTGCAGCCATTTCAAAGTGTCACAACCAAATTTGTCACCCCTTGTTGATGCATGTCATAACACTGATGCTGTTTTATAGGATTTCTTGATAGTGAAGAGCTGTGAAAAGCTGATTTTGTTTCATATGGGTTTCTGTTATTCCTGATTAATCATCCTATATGCCTTAGTATGTAGAAAGTGAAGACCAACTGGAGTGAGCACTTCTCTCCACTTGTTCTCTCTTGGGTACCTACTAAAAAGTCAAGATGTCAGCTTTTATATGACAGGACAAGGGAAGTTCATGGAGGTGGTTGCATCTTTGATGGATGTCTCATCAGAGTGGGTGTTTTTTAAAGAGTTTGACCATCAGATTGTAAGGCCCTGTTAACTTTTCATGGGGTGGGATAAAAACATCTTGTTGTAGATCAATGGGTATTATGAAACCCATTAATAGGGCATCATTTATTTATTTAAACTATACATAGCTACTTAACTGGCTATGTATGGATATTCATGTTGGAGCATTGGAGGCAAATTGAAAGGAACCGTCCTTCCTCCTCAGGAGCTTGTCTGTTACTTGTAGATCTCTCTCCTCCCCCACCGCCACCCCCACCAGGTTATGCACTTTTACAGCTCAAAAGCACTAAAGTTGATAGCACCCTTTTCAGTACCTGGGGTGGAGTAGCAAGGCAACTTCTGAAGTTATTTTCCCACCTCAGCTTTCAGACTCAAAGAAGTGACTGTAATGGTAGAGATTTCAGAAACAATAAGGAAAAATAACTGGCCAAAAGGAAGGTTCAGGTGAACTTAATATTGCAGTGGTCCCAATGCCAATCTTACATGTGGGGTGATCTCTCTCAAGTCTCTGGCCTACCTAGTAAGAACAGTGCTAGACCCCAGAAACTTGGGTAGAAGCAAACCTTCGGTGCCAGAAAAACCTGATGTCTAATCATAGCTCAAGTTTTTAATGTCTTTTATCAACCCCTCATACAGCTGCCAGGTAAGAAATCCTCATATTTTACAAACTCTTGGAATACAACCATCTTTAAACTTCGTGAGTTCAGAATGGTTGTGTTGTGCGCCTGTGCAAATTCAGAGAGTCTATCGTGGAATGTGTTGTGCATGTACTTGTTTATCTCCATGAGCATGTTTCATTTATAGTGGTGTTCAGTGTTTTTTCTTTTAACCATTTTTATATGAAATTTAAAAATACCTACATATATTGTGCTCTAAGTGAAATGGTTAAGTGTAACAAAACTTCCATTTAATTTGGGGTCTAAATACTGGTGTTCAACTCCTATTTCTGTCAGTAACTAATTAGGTAGCTCAAATTACTTAGATCTCTGGGGCCTCAGTTTTCTCATTTGTAAAATGATGATAGTTGATCTAAAGGATATATCCTAGACTAATCTTGGTATAAAATTCTATGGTTTTATAATAATTTTTCAAGAAATGGTTTATGGGAAAATATTGAATAGTTAATGAGACATAGTTTTTGTATGGAGCAGACAGTTATTAAAACCAGAAAGATTAGCTGTCTAAACTAGGTTTTAAAATGTACCCTATATCTGACATAGTGCTATTTGGTTAATGATATAAGTGGGTCATCTTCTTTTAAATGGCCAATATTAAGCTCAAGATAGTTAGCTCAAGATAGTTGATTTGGAAGACTGGTTTTTTTTTTCACTCCATAATTTTATGTTAATTTTGATGACTTGATATAGAAAGATCTATGTTCTAGGTGATAAATGGAGCTAGGTAGGTCTCATTGGAAAAACATGAAAATTCAAAATTACTTATGCAGTATTACAGGAATTTCCTTGTGGTGTTAGGGAGAGTTAATGAATAGAGAATTGGTGGGAGTGCAGCCATGTGCTGTGGGAGAATAAAAGACATATGTAAGGCCAGGCCTCTACTCTTGAGGAATGTACACCCTTTTTAGAAATCTGGACACATGAATGTGTCAACTTCCAGGTAAAGACAGTGTCAAAGAACCAATATCCCTGGAGTCTAGGGTGGCTGGACTGCACTGGGAAGGCTCTGTGAGAAACTGAGGGCTTCTGCCAACTTTGGACAGAGTAATTTACATTTATGTTGCTGTACATAAGGAGGGCAGGGAAGCATTTCAGGCCAGCAAGACCACAGAATTGTAAATGTGGCAAGGATATCCTGTGTTTTCATGTGCCCTGGATCAAAATCAAAACTCTGCTCAGAGTCCGGCCCTGTACTTTTCCTGAGCCTCTTTCCCCTTAAAACTGTGCTGACTTTACAATATATGATATACTTGTTTAAAAGAATTCAGACGGCTGTGGGTGAATAAGTTGCAATGATTATTTATTAAAATATAATCAGGAAGCCATGTTCTCAGTTCTGCAAAAGGTCACTGGATCACTCACAGTCCCAACTGTGGAGGAGAAAAACATGAAAGGAGGGAATTAGGGAGAGAAGGAAACTCTAGCTCTGAGACACTCTGTTTTCCAAGGAAGGTGTAAAGCAATTCTGATTTTGGATAGTTAAACAGATTATCTTTGATAGGTTTAGAAATGTAGGATGGTAATGAAACCCCTCACAAGCTAATTAGTCCATGTAACCTGATGATTTTCTGTAGCAAACAAGTTTCTCTGTGCACTGAGCAGGAATCATGTCAGACTCTGCTTTCAGATAGCCAATGCTGAGAAGGTTTAAACACTAAGTAAAATAGCACATGATTATACAAGTCTCTTTCTCAAGTGCACATGGAATGAGATTATTGCTTTGGGCATGATTTACCCACACTGACAAAGAAGCACACTTATATTTGAAAGCCTCTATGTTGCTGTAGATTCATAGATGATTTACAATGTATACTTGTCATAACTTAGCACAAATTTTTGTATTTCTTGCCATCCAAGTCCCTTCCAAGTTACTACTTTGGCCTTTCTAACAGACAAGCATTCCATGAGTAGAACTCCTTATTCCCTATTTCAGATTCAGAGGACTTGGTTTATAACACCCCATGAAATGCATCTTAATTTCCTATTATGACATAAAAATTAATTCCTACAATATACTGTCTCAGGAAATCACTTTCGAAACTTGTCTATATGGAATGGTGCAGTATTAGGATCAAAAACCGTTTTACAAAGCACGGAATGCCCTTATAGAACTAAAAAAGTTCTTTAAATTCAAGTAGGACTTACATAAAATTTTGTGAAACAGTATAGATTATTAGAGGGTAGGACTTACATAAAATTTTATGGAACAGTATAGATTATTAGAGGAAGTTAGAGATACTAGATTCTATTTGTCTTGAGAGAATAATGGCAAAGATGACAACCATTCCCCACCTCCCCCAAGATCTAAGTAATAATGTACCTGGAGGCAATTTTTTAAATAGAGGATCAGTTAGATTTATACTTCAACAAATATTTTTTGACTAAATAACATGTGATATTCACTGTCCTATGGAGAATATGGAATTAGCCTGGAAGACAGACAGAGACACATAATCAGTAATTGGGACAGATTATAATAATAACTTTAACAGATATATACAAAGTGATATGGGGACACTCCTATAGAGAAAGGAAAGAGAAAACTTCATAAATGGAGTATTTTGGGGGGCCTTCATAGATAAGAGGATTGAGTTTTCCAGATAGAGGAGAGAAAAAGTGGCCCAGGAGCAAAGTAGAATGCTTATAATATTGAGTTATACATGTATCTTGTTCTGACTGGACCTGAAAATGCCAGAGATGGGTGGAAAGATGGAGAATAGTGAAAAGGTGAGTTAGAAAGGTACGTGGGAGATGGATATCAGGGAAATTTTTCTGACCCGTTTTGATTTTAATGGGTGTTTCTCAAAATGGTCAGAAGATCGTCTGCATACCAGATCCAGCAAGAGGTGGGAAGAGACTGTTAGGATACAGAATCACGGCCATGCTACAAGCCTCCTGAAGCAGGATTCCACCCGTAACACATACCAGAAGATTCATTTTCATGCCAGAGTTTCAGTGTCTCTGCAAGGCAACAAGCCTCCTCATAATGTCTCTATGTTCTTGGAAGAAGTTTTGGAAAAACAGAATTAAAATATTTAGAAGAAAAGATTTTGGAAAACAGGATTTAAAGTAATATAAGAATGATCTTTAAAAAACTGGTAAAAAATTGTGGTTAGGTATGACAAAGAACTTTCTAAGAATGATAGTTATTATTTAATGCTATGCAGTGTCCCTAAAGGAAAGGCATGAGACTATAAACATTTCAGGTACCAGTGTCAAGGAGTTAATGAAGTTCAGAGCTAAGCTGTTCTGCAGCTCCCAAGTCATGTCAAGATAAGGAATAAAGGCAGCGGTCCAGAGTAATATTTGTTTCTGGGTGGTATTCTTTGTTAGTGTTACTTGGCTACTTTTTAAAATTTTAATTAGGTGAACTACTTTGGAAAAGAACTAAATATATATGTTAGTATTTCCACTGTGACTAGAAA